GTAATGAATCATATCGATCAGTATATGGTTAAAAAACTTAAGTAGTATAGTTTGCAATACATACTAGTATAAAAATAATAAGAATATATATATATGTATAAGTAAGCAAGTGAAATATACAAAGTGAGCCAATGTATGGTAGTGTAGACCATAAGTGCTAATATAAGTATTATTATAGATTATCTAGTATAGGATAGTGAATAATAACTATGTGAACTATAGGAAAAAAAAAAAAAAAAGGGGAGAGGAAAACAGTGGTGTGTTGTGATAGTGAATAAGTGTTCAATAAAGTGGAGTGTGAAAAAAAAAAAAAATTGCAACTGACAGTGTTTATAGAAATGCATTCAGTTCAAAGTCTAAATTAAGACCTTTGGGGGCCAGAGTCTCTAGGTGGAATATCCACCTAGCTTCCGTTTGGTCCAAGTTTTTGTCACCCCCTCTCCAATTGACATCTACCTTTTCAATCGGTAGGAATCTCAATCCTGTGGGGTCTCCCACAGTTTGAAGACCCTTTCTAATGTTCCTTATGTGTTCCGCCATCCTTATCTTTAATGCTCTTTTTGTTCGTCCTACATACTGTTTTGAACACGGGCATGTGATGAGGTAAATTACACCTTTTGTATCACAGTTCATATTGGTTTTAATGTCATATTCTTCCGTACTGTCCATAGATGTAAATTTTGTGATTTCAAAATCCAAAAGAGGATTGTTTACACATGCGACACATTTCCTGCATCGTTTGAAGCTTTTTGTAGCAGTTATATCCTGTTGGATATTCTGTTGTTTAAGGGTTGGGGCCAGAAGTAATTGTAGGTTGGGTGCTTTAGTGAAGATAATGCGTGGTTGGTTCTCCAGAATGCCTGTAAGGGAAGGATCACTAGTAAGGATATTCCAATGTTTCTTCAAAATTTTCTCTATAGTACGAGATTGGTGATTATATTGAGTTATAAAGGCTGGTGCAAATTGGCTCATCTCGATGGTTTCAACTTTGTTCTTGAGAGTATCTTGTCTTGGAATGGCTAGTGCTCTATTTTTGGCCTCAGTGAGTAGTGTTATAGGGTAGCCTTTATTGATAAATCTTTGTTGCATCTCTTCCATTTGTTCACCACATACTTGTAAGTTTGAGCAATTTTTTCTGATCCGCCTAAATTGACTATACGGGATATTTCTGAGCCAAGTAGTTTTGTGATGGCTATTAAAAGGGATAAAACTATTACAATCTACTGTTTTTTTTTAAAGTTTTAGTCTGTATTTGATTGCCTTCTATGTAGATGTTTAAATCTAAAAACTCAATTTGTTCACATGACTGGTTAAAAGTGAACTTTAAATTGTATGGGTTATTATTGAGGTAGGTCTTAAACAATTCAAGAGAGTCCACATCTCCTTTCCAAATGAAAAAGCAGTCGTCTATATATCTCCGCCATAGGGACAGGTTTGCACCAAATGGGCAATGTTCCCATATAAATTCTTCCTCCCATTTGCCCATAAATAGATTCGCATAACTTGGCGCAAAACGAGTCCCCATGGCGCTTCCCTCAATTTGTAGATAGAATTGGTCATTGCACCAAAAATAGTTGTGGGTAAGGATAAAAGCAATGCATTGTACTAAAAAGTCAATTTGGTCGTTCTTTAGTTCTGAATGAACTGCCAGCGAATATTGTATTGCCTCACACCCTTGTAAATGCTCTATCACTGTATATAGTGAAGTGACATCAGCCGTGACTAAAATCATGTCCTTGGACCAGTTAAAATCAGATAAGAGATTTAAAATTTGTGTGGAGTCTCTCAAATATGATTTGAGACATGGTACCATACTTTGTAGGTACTGGTCTACATATTCAGAAAGCTTGGCGGTGAGGGATCCAATTCCAGAGATGATGGGTCTACCTGGAGGTTTTGTCAATTTTTTGTGAATCTTCGATAAGTGATAAAAGACAGGTATTCTTGGAAACTTGTTGTATAGATATTTATATTCTCTTTCATTAATGATCCCTCTGGCTCTACCTTGGTCAAGTATCTCTTCTAATTTGACCTTAAATTGAGGGGTTGGGTCTTGTTCAAGTTTCAAATAAGTGCAGGTGTCTTCCAATAGTCTGTTGTTTTCTTCTATATAGTCTTCTGTATTAAGAATCACTAAGCCACCCCCTTTGTCTGCCGCTTTTATAGTTATATCTTCTGATTTCATCAACTGTTTGAGAGACTGCCTCTACCTTTTGGTTAGATTGTCTTTCTTTATCTTATTTTTAATCTTCCCTCTGAAATCTTTTTCTACCATTTTCTCAAATACTGTCATTGAGTCAGTCTTCACATGTTGTGGGTAAAATGTAGAAGTGGGATGTAGTTCAGTTTGTGTGTAATTCTGTATTGGGGTAGATTGTGTCTTGTCCTTGCCCTGAAAAAATTTCTTTATTGAGACTTTTCTCATGAACTTATGTAAATCTATACAAGCATTAAAATTAGAGCTTTTGGACGTCGGTGCGAACTTAAGACCCTTTTTTAGGAGTGAGACTTCTTCCAAGTTAAGTGTTCTCGTTGACAGGTTAAAAATGTTTATTTCCTCCTTTTCTGCTGAATGGCGTCCTCCTGTTGTTCTGTGTCTTCTTCTGTTTCTCTTATTGTTCTTTTCTTTCTCAAATCCGGGGACCTGAAGTCTTCCATCACAAATCTTTTGGGGGGAATCCTTCCCCGTGTGGCGGAACCAACCTCGCCACCATGCACTGGAGAAGCCTGGTTGCCAGCCTCCTGCCATGTGACTATGGCCCCTGGGATGTATTGCCCTTTAAAGACATGATTTAGGCATAATGGATTTGTGTTGTGCTGCTGCTAGCCCTTTTAAGAACCATCTGGGGACATACTGTGGAGTTACTGGGTGGCCACCATTTCCTGTATCAGAAGCACATGGTGAGAACAATGGATGGCGGCCATTTTAACTCACAGACGCTGTGTGGACTTTTCAACACGGTGCCATCTTGCCAGTATTTGTTGCACAGAGACATCGTGCGGTGGTTTTGGACTATACAGCAGGGGACACATTATACAGTGATTGTTTTTTTATTTAGCCTGTATATGTTCTGCAGAATCTGCATTAAACTGTATTTTCCAAAGTACTGAACGGATCTGGGTGAATTTTGGATACGTGGTTCACCCAGATCCCCCAGTTCCAAGGATATACTTTTTATGGGGTTATTGCATGTTTTGGGGTCCCTGTGATGTGTTTTATGAAACTGTATTTCTCTGGCTGTGATAATTAGATTACCCATTTTGTTCAGTAATCATATCACAGCCAGAGGGGAGGATTTTGTGTGGGAGTGTCTGGGTGTATTGTATGGATTGATTGGCTGTTTTGTAACGCCCTGTGGGCTGTACTATGTTTGTGGATTGGGAATAAAAGAGACTGTATGTGACAGTACAGGGAGTTCCTGTTTTAACCCTCAAAGTGAAGTGTCGTCTCATTATTGGGGAAGGATTTATTGTATGCTGTTCCAGTTTGACTGCTAGGAGTCTAAACCCATCCGTATGGTTTTTGCCTATTCAGCTGTTTATAGCATTCATATGCTTGAGAGAAGGTATATGCTTCTCTGGTTCGGTGATTGTGGTGTCTGCCAGAGTGCTTGGAGTCCTCAGGAAACGCTAGGAGCATCCTTAACAGTGGTACCCAGTCGGGGTGCCAGGCGATCCGTTAAGCACCTGTCTAAAAAAATCATTCTCTGCATATGTGGTTGGATGATCTTGGTTTCTTTCGAGCTACATTATTGGAGTCCAATCTTCTGGTCCAGTGCATCGGAGTGTTGGCAACCAACCCCGCCACTGTGAACTGGAGAAGCCTGGTTGCCGCCTGCTCCCCTTTGATCTGGCGGTGGCCCCTGCAGGTTAAACTGTTTATTTCCCCTGCAGAAAAGTTTATTTGTAAAACGATCTGAGTGCCATTCATCTAATAATGTGCACTCAGATCCCAGCCATTCCGGGGATATGTGAAAATGTCTGTGTGTTATGTGTAAAAAGTGACTTTATGTATTTTAAAGTGTTTTGTGTCTTTTTGCAACCATGTGCTTACTGGAGTCTTGTGTCTGTCCTGGGAGATAATTGAATTACTCTCCAGGATAGAAGACTCTGAAACTGGTTTGGGCCAGAAAGCCATGCTTCATTTAGTCACAAAGGACTTTTTACTAACCTTTGAACCCCTGGTCTGATTCATGCCATTTTTTAATATGTTGTTCCCCTGAATGGATTGATTGTGAATATGTAATTTTATGTGAATGTGATGTATGGTTTTAGAGTTATGAAAGTTGGGTAGAAAGTATGTTTTAACTGTATGTGTAATTGAGTTTCCTCTCAGGATAAGGGAGGGAATATGTGGGATGTAACTTATATGTGATTGGTTGTTTTGTAACGCCCTGTGGGCTGTACTATGTTTGTGGATTGGGAATAAAAGAGACTGTATGTGACAGTACAGAGAGTTCCTGTTTTAACCCTCAAAGTGAAGTGTCGTCTCATTATTGGGGGAAGGATTTATTGTATGCTGTTCCAGTTTGATTGCTAGGAGAGTAAACCTATTCATATAGTTCCTATTCAACTGTCTACAGCATTCATATGCTTGAGAGGATTCATATGCTTCTCCGGTTCGGTGGTTGTGGTGTCTGCTGCAGTGCTTGGAGTCCTCAGGAAGCGCTAGGAGCATCCTTTAACGGAGGTACCCAGTCGGGGTGCCAGGCGATCCGTTACACGGAGTTTCTGCGACTGGAGTGTGTTGTTTTCTGTATTCCCGTGTGTGCCAATCTCTACTCTGAAATTTCATATATTGTGAATGTTGTCGACTTTCTTGATCTATGTATCCTCTCTTTATGTATTGAGGTGGACGGTATCCTCTGTGGTCCTGTCTTCTATTTTGAATTGGTCGATGTTGCATCCACTTTCTAGTGGGACCTTGATTGGGGGTTCTTTGAGAGATATCTGTGTCTCTATATGTCACCCGTCGTTGATATCTTTGTTCGGTTCCATACTTTTGAGGGGATTGGTACTTTGATGTTTGGTCTTTCTTCCAATTTCTTTGTGTTTGAGTTTTGTAGTCGGCTTGATCTCTCAGAATCTTCTTTCTTTTATTTTCCCTTATATTCATCTCAATATCTTTCACTCTCCTTTCTATTGTATCCAAAAGTTCCACATATTCTCCATTCTCCACTAGGGGGCGAATGGCAATTTTCAATTCTGTAATTTCCTGATCTAATTGGGTAAGATCTTTCTTCTTCTCATTGATAAGGAATACCATTAGTAATAGAGATCCTTTATCCAAAAGTTGGTCCCACTTCTTGAGAAGTGTTGGATCATGACGTTTGTAGGTTGATCTTTCAAAAAGTCTCAATCCTCGTGGTACTATATTGTTGTTAACGTAGAAATCAAGGGTTGCTATGTCCCACCAGATTTGTACCTCCCTTTCCATTAGTTTACCTAGTTGATGGATAAGGGATCTGATGTCCTTTCGTTGGTCCATAAGTGGCGGGGCAGGTTCATTCGAATTATTATTGTCTTCATCGACGGACCAGGTGCCCATAAAGGACTTTCTATCTGATCTAATTGTATCGATGTTTCTGCTTAAAGCCATAGTCTTTCTCTAAAACCTCAATGGGTGAATTCGGAAATAAGAGAAAATATATGAGATCTGGTCTGCCTAATGCAACACACAGAGATGAGGGAGTCCGACTTAGAGTGAATTGCTCAAAACTGAACTGAGACAGGGATACACCCAAAACCTGTCTGGAGATATAAAAGACAGTAATACCTTCAAGGTAGTGCGTTCAGGAGCTGATTCACTTATGAATGGCTTAATTGATACAGTTGGATATAGTAGTAGTATTAGTATCTAGAACAATAGGTGATGGTTAAAGTAAAATGTGTGGTGTGTATACCTTTAAATCTGCTAAAGGCAGATTCTATCTGTTACACACCAAATTATCTGCTTAATGTAAAGCAGTTACTAAATACAGAGTAACAACATGAGAAATGGTTATCTGTGTGGTATTGATATACACACTGTTGTATATAGTGTGTATTTAGCTTTAAATAAACTATGAGCAAACTTAATAGTGCAAGAACAGTACTTAACTTCCAGTAGAGAGATATATAAAAAATTCTAATCTCTGTACTTGATGTTAAAATACAATCACTTAAAATATAAATGAGCAGATAAAAATTCCAAAAAAAACACTATTAAAAGATTAGGTATTAAAAAATAATATAAAGGTTTCTCTTGAAGTGTTTAAGACCTACCTCAATAATAACCCATACAATTTAAAGTTCACTTTTAACTAGTCATGTGAACAAATTGAGTTTTTAGATTTAAACATCTACATAGAAGGCAATAAAATACAGACTAAAACTTAAAAAAAAAAAACAGTAGATTGTAATAGTTTTATCCCTTTTAATAGCCATCACAAAACTACTTGGCTCAGAAATATCCCGTATAGTCAATTTAGGCGGATCAGAAGAAATTGCTCAAACTTACAAGTATGTGGTGAACAAATGGAAGAGATGCAACAAAGATTTATCAATAAAGGCTACCCTATAACACTACTCACTGAGGCCAAAAATAGAGCACTAGCCATTCCAAGACAAGATACTCTCAAGAACAAAGTTGAAACCATCAAGATGAGCCAATTTGCACCAGCCTTTATAACTCAATATAATCACCAATCTCGTACTATAGAGAAAATTTTGAAGAAACATTGGAATATCCTTACTAGTGATCCTTCCCTTACAGGCATTCTGGAGAACCAACCACGCATTATCTTCACTAAAGCACCCAACCTACAATTACTTCTGGCCCCAACCCTTAAACAACAGAATATCCAACAGGATATAACTGCTACAAAAAGCTTCAAACGATGCAGGAAATGTGTCGCATGTGTAAACAATCCTCTTTTGGATTTTGAAATCACAAAATTTACATCTATGGACAGTACGGAAGAATATGACATTAAAACCAATATGAACTGTGATACAAAAGGTGTAATTTACCTCATCACATGCCCGTGTTCAAAACAGTATGTAGGACGAACAAAAAGAGCATTAAAGATAAGGATGGCGGAACACATAAGGAACATTAGAAAGGGTCTTCAAACTGTGGGAGACCCCACAGGATTGAGATTCCTACCGATTGAAAAGGTAGATGTCAATTGGAGAGGGGGTGACATAGAAAAAAACTTGGACCAAACGGAAGCTAGGTGGATATTCCACCTAGAGACTCTGGCCCCCAAAGGTCTTAATTTAGACTTTGAACTAAATGCATTTCTATAAACATTGTCAGTTGCAATTTTTTTTTCACACTCCACTTTATTGAACACTTATTCACTATCACAACACACCACTGTTTTCCTCTCCCCTTTTTTTTTTTTTCCTATAGTTCACATAGTTATTATTCACTATCCTATACTAGATAATCTATAATAATACTTATATTAGCACTTATGGTCTACACTACCATACATTGGCTCACTTTGTATATTTCACTTGCTTACTTATACATATATATATATTCTTATTATTTTTATACTAGTATGTATTGCAAACTATACTACTTAAGGTTATTAACCATGTACTGATCGATATGATTAATTACTTCCTTCTGATCCCTAATACATAGTTTGATCCCATATTTTAGAGCATCTTATCCAATTCCCAATTATGTTATTTTATTTTGTGAGGTCATTGCACCATTTATTAATCATCAAAGACATTCAGTACAGATACCACTTGCATATCGTCATGTAACTCTGTGTATAGCCTCCACTTTAACTTTTCCACGATCTTTTTATAATATACCAACGACTCTTATATTATTTCTTATATCTCATCAATTCCCAAATATGATTATTATCCTCACATAGTGATTTTTAAATGTATATCTATTCTAAATTTTTATTTCGATCTAACTCTTCATTTTAAACAGTTTATTAATTCCAAACCACTGAACAACAATTTTTAATAATATAAATTTTATTATATTCATTCAGCATTGTATTTTGTATGCATTAATTCTTATGGTGTATTAAATCACTGTATGTGTTTTCAATTTTTATATTTCTTTGGTATTTTAAACCACTGTATGTGTATAAATTCAAATAGCATTATCGTGTTTAGTTAACAAACGACACATGTAAGATATTTGCTTATTTATCAGTTTTGTATATAAGAAACACATTCAGATCCAGCTGTAGTATGTCTCTGAGGAAGTGGGGCTGACACCCACGAAACGCGTAAGACTATCAGACCGATAGCGAGCAGGATACGAAGAGCAGCCAGACGCCAGCAGAAGGAATTTCTTCTTTCCCCATACAGCATTCACGACTTGGGGACTAACGGACTGCCAGCATCTGAGAATCAAAGTGAGGTTTGGCACGCACGCCAACCTCCCAGCAGCCGGCAAGTAAAATTATTCCGTTCTGATACAAAGTATCCACTGTAATCCTCAATAGTTACAGTGGCTATATAGCTATATGTTCAATATCTGCACTGGCCAATGACTTGCTGACCGTTCCTGGCTCCCATTTTTGTATTTTTATTCCATTTTGGATTATTCTTTTATTTATATTTTTTTGCATTGTGAATAAACCTTTATATTATTTTTTAATACCTAATCTTTTAATAGTGTTTTTTTTGGAATTTTTATCTGCTCATTTATATTTTAAGTGATTGTATTTTAACATCAAGTACAGAGATTAGAAATTTTTATATATCTCTCTACTGGAAGTTAAGTACTGTTCTTGCACTATTAAGTTTGCTCATAGTTTATTTAAAGCTAAATACACACTATATACAACAGTGTGTATATCAATACCACACAGATAACCATTTCTCATGTTGTTACTCTGTATTTAGTAACTGCTTTACATTAAGCAGATAATTTGGTGTGTAACAGATAGAATCTGCCTTTAGCAGTTTTAAAGGTATACACACCACACATTTTACTTTAACCATCACCTATTGTTCTAGATACTAATACTACTACTATATCCAACTGTATCAATTAAGCCATTCATAAGTGAATCAGCTCCTGAACGCACTACCTTGAAGGTATTACTGTCTTTTATATCTCCAGACAGGTTTTGGGTGTATCCCTGTCTCAGTTCAGTTTTGAGCAATTCACTCTAAGTCGGACTCCCTCATCTCTGTGTGTTGCATTAGGCAGACCAGATCTCATATATTTTCTATTACATTGTCTGCCTACCTTTAAGTCATCTGAAATAATTACCCCTAAATCCCTTTCTTTAGATGTTGAGGTCAGGACTCTGTCAAATATTCTATACTCTGCCCTTGGGTTTTTACGTCCAAGATGCATTATCTTGCATTTATCCACATTAAATGTCAGTTACCACAGCTCTGACCATTTTTCTAGTTTACCTATATCATTTGCCATTTGTCTTATCCCTTCTGGAACATCAACCCTGTTACATATCTTAGTATAAATCAGAAAAAAAAGACATGTCTTAACATCAAGACCTTCTGCATTATCACTAATAAAAATATTAAAGAGAATGGGTCCAAGTACAGATCTCTGAGGTTCCCCACTGGTAACAAGACCATGCTTCGAATATACTCTACTTACTACAACCCTCTGTTGCCTATCACTCAGCCATTACCTAACCCATTTGGAATCCAGACTTAAAGATTGCAGTTTATTGATAAGCCTTCTAGGTGCAACAGTGTCAAAAGCCTTACTGAAATCTAGGTAAGCAATGTCACTGCACCATCCTGATCTGTTATTTTAGTTACCCAATAAAAGCAAGCAATAAGATTGGTGGTGGTGGGGCCTGACCTCCAAGATGGCCAGAGGCACTTTCATGTAGCTTCTACAAGCCTGAACTAAAAACCCTGATTAAACGCTCACTGGAGCATTCAGCTGACTTACTGGAGCATTCAGCTGACTTACCCACATGGGGTGATCTGCCTGGTTTGGTCAGATAATGGACTCTTTTTGTTTCTTCTTCAGCCTACATGTGCCCATGGCCTGCTAGCTGGGGGGGGGACAGACAACCTCCTGGCCACAGCCACGTGGCCTGAAACGTGCTATCAACTCCTTTGGACCAGTTATCCCAGTCCCCACCGGCCCAATGCACACATGCCTATCTTGGCCAATGTCATGCCATCTCCCTCTGGAGCCTCCTGGCTTCTAATAACACTCTACCCAGTATGAGAATTGTCTGACTGCATATTCTTTGGTCTTCGCACTGTGTCTGTCCTCACTCCCGACAAGTCCTTTTACTGCACAATCTTACTCACCCAAGATGGAACTCATCGTTCTGTTTTCCTTTTATTGTTGCCTTCACCATTTACTTTAATGTAATGTATAGTCCTGACAGAGTGTGTTGGGCATTGGTTGCTTAACTTCTATGCTTAACCATTTTCCGGCAATGCTACCACTTAACTATATCCTACTCCAGGTAGATTTGATGATTTTTATTTATAGCTAGTTACTATCCACCATCTCTAGACTGTAAACTCGTTTGAGCAGGGTCCTCAATTACCTATTGTTCCTGTTACATTTTGATATTGTCTAATTTCATAAATACGCCTCTTATTGTAAAGTGCTGCAGAATAAGCTGGCGC